CTTTACTAACGGCATTAGTTGTTCAGATACCAGTACAGTCGGCGACAAGGATCGCTCTCGAGCCGGCCTGTGGGCTGGTTACGTGCACTGACACGATCTAAGAAGATAAACCCTTAAGCATTTATGGTATGACATGAATAACAAATTTGCGTTTCAAGAATATCTAGCTGGCTGCTACTTTGATGTATGTATTAGCGACAAAGATCTCTTGTTGCGAGCGTTGGTGGGGAATTTTTAACGCCTTGTCGTCAGTATTTCTTAACTTAAAATTTAAGACTGTAAGTAGCGAATATATTACTTAACTTATTTTTTAACTTTAACACAATACACCGAATACTTTTTTCGTGGTCACGGTTTTTTTATGACTCCCCTCCCCCCTCTGTAGCCTAATTGTTAAACATAACGTCTAGCAGTGCGTTAAGTGCGAAAGGTCCTGGGTTCGAGTCCCAGGGAAACAAAAAAATGTTCGGTCGGGCAGGGCACAAAAGTCTGTTCAACTACTTGCCCTTTAAAAGAACGGATCAGTGAAACGGACACAGAAATGTGTTCGCCCCATGGCCAACGAGGGGGAAACGGGCTTTCACAATTTCACAGTGTTAACCGTTTTATTTGTTTTAATTACCTCTCCATCCCGGCTGTTCCAAGGTTATCTACATTGCTAACTCAACAATTAGATATATAATAATTCGGTATTAAATATTTTTTTTTAATAAAGTTTTAACTTTTAATATATATCCCTATAGTTTTAATTCGCGATCTCTTAATAGGTGCCTCAGTCAGATATTTGCTCATGAATAGTGGGTTTTATATGGTCGGTTAAGTTAATGGTACAAAGAAAGTCACGTTCGAACTGAAATGCCATTTGTACTGTCGCAACGCTAACGAAGCACAGGTCGCGGGGAAGACCTTATGATCGATTGTCTATTAGTGTTTAATAAAGTTCATTCAATTCGGTGCAAAACATTATTTATACAATCATACGCTCAATATAAGTGTTAGTTTGTACGCGAGTCCTAAATTAGAAATACAAATTGACTAGTTGTGCCAGCGACTTCGTCCGCCTTATTTTGGGCGTTAAAAACCTGCTCATCTTTTAAATACTAGCCGTGCCAGCGACTTCGTCCGCGAAAATCGTTTTTTTGGGCATCCAAAAAATTTTTTGCAACCCCCCTCCTTTTTTTTTTTTTGGGGGGCCGGCCCCCCCCGGGGGGGGGGCCCCCCCTTTTTTAATTTTTTTTTTTTTGGGGGGGGGGTTTTTTTTTTTTTTTTTTTTTAAAACTTTCTTTCATACATATTTTTGGGTATCTCGAGCCTTTTTCGCAGCTCACGTAACGGAAACTCTCAAAGATAAGTTCTTCATTTTTTTTTCACATTGTGGGAAACTTTTTTAGTTTCCTTGTAACTACTAACTACAGACTAACTACGTACGATTAACACAGATATTTTTTTTAAATGTAAACCGTATTGTAAATAGTTCCTGAGATTAGCGGTCAAACAAACTCTTTAGCTTTATAATATTACTATAGATGCGGACTGCAAGTGAATCCATCATAAACACAAGAGAATAATTAAGACATAGAATGGAAATTCACTCACAAATTTTCTCGTACTATAATTTTTTTAAATCTAGCGCATCTCACATTTTACTCTGTACATAATATACTTTTAGTGCCGTTAACTGCATTTAGAGTTAAAAACAACGGCACAATGCTGTCGTAATTATGCCACAACACAATCTTCTCGGTTTATAGCGTACTAGAAAAATGCATTAACCCACATTTTATTGCCGACGAACATAACTACAATAAAGTCGAGATGCTAGTACTCCCCTGGCGCGACATAACGTCCACATTTATTAATTTCGCGTTAATTGCGTTAGGCGTGTTTTCTTTGAAGTTTGTAACCCTACTTAGTATAAAATTGCGTTAAGGTCTTCCGCATAAAGTCCATAATAAGGAGCGACGCGACAGAGGCGCCGAGATCCTTTGTGAGAAAACTCGCTCCTTCGCTGGAGGGAACCGCCCAGACGTCGTGAATAATACGGAAAAATATTTTTCTCCGCGACACTCGACTCGATTGCTTGGCCGCGACTTTCCTCCGAGATGGACTTGTTATTTCAACGTTGCTATTTTGCGGCCTGAAACAATTTAGGAACTCATATACAATTAATCATTAAGCTGTAAGCTGTTTGTAAAAGCTTAGATTTCTCTCGTCATGCCGGTTACTTCATAATTGAGCGATTAAATAAAGCTGAAACATATATAACTACCTACTAGCTGTGCCAGCTCCGCGTCCTCGTTCTCGTAAAATAGTTATTTTGAACCAAATTTGTTTTTGCAACCTCCTCCTCAACTTTCATAAATTTTTAACCGTTACTCACGATGTTAAGTTAATCTTAAAAGATAGACATATATTGTCGCGAACATTTTTAGGATTAATTCTTTCATACATATTTTTTGAGTACGTTGAACTGTTTTCGCAGCTTATGCATAGGAAACCGACAAAGTTGACTAATTTTCTACGTTTTTCCAAACTTCCTGGTGTTTATTCACTCCTCTTAGTCACAGCGCAATATTTTATAGCAAAATATAGCCTTCCACGTATACTCTAAAAAATTTTTTTTTTTAATTTGAACCAATAGTTCCTGAGATTAGGCGTTCAAACATACTAACAAACAAACTGTTTAGCTTTATATATTATTATAGATATTCAATTCAGGTTAAAAATGTTTTTACGCTTTTAGTGTAAGATATAATTGTATCACCATTATAATTTCAAACAACTATTCACACTTCTACAAATGAAAAACATTAAAGATGTCTATCGAAGTTCCGATTCGTAAGTACGAAACAATTCGCATCAAAACGTCGTGCAAGTTCAGCTCGGCGATTCGGTAGCGTCCGCGACCGTCGCGATTTACATAGAGCATTCACTAACAAGACACGTTCTAGTAGAATTGCGTTCGCGAAAGAACCCTCTTCAAACAACCCATTTCTATTTCAGCTCGCAAACGCTTGTTTAATGTTTGGCCCGTATAACCGCGTCGGCTAACACTTAACGCTTTTTGCATACGAAAGCGGCCGACGGCACCAGTTCGCCTCGCTGTCTCGTTATTACACTACTCTGTATTCAGACTGGGCATAGTTGAAGGTCGACTTTCTGCTCGCTCTAATGAACTATGTTATACGGCTACTTTGTCCATTCACAGCGGCGATATTGCGTCACGTCTTTGCAGGCGATGTGTATGGTCAACTGTCGGCTTTATGTCAAATGTGTAGCTTTGACATCTTGAAGCATAAAAATATCTGCCGCTGAAAGATAACAAGATATAGTTCTGGAGTGTTCGCCTGTAGTACACATTTAACTAGTTAACTTATAACAGCGGCCTTGGCCACGGGAGGACTGATAGTAAATAAGTTAAGCAATATATATTTCATGTCTTAAATCGACAATAGGTTTTAAAATAAAAGTTCCGCGTCGTTAAAATGTATTTTCGTAATTATATTTACTTGATAGCCGTCTAATCGTATACTTATTATATAGCTTAAGAAGATTAGCAACTACTATGTGTGTAACAAAGCTATCCTAAAATGGTACCCAAATTGTATTCTTACAAAACACCTCATAAAAGCATATAAACGTAAAGATAAACGAGTGCACTTAATCCAGAAGTTAGAATGTTGACGAGAAATAAAGAGGATCGCGTCGAAAAAGCCGACACCATGCTATGCCATTAATCAACGTCGCGTTGAATGTATTTATAACAAAGCTAGCACTTAATAATTCAAGCTACGATTGAGGCCTGGACGCCAGTGAAACGTCTAATCATTGTGTGGGTCGTAATTGAGGTGAATCGCTGCTTTCATTTTATCTTAATTTATTCATTTCGAGCGATCGCTAATGTTGCTGTGACTACTTGTCACTCCCAATAACGAGGTGCACCTGCTCTTATCGATACAGACGACTCCAATTCAAAGAAAGGGTTCATTTTAATACTTAGGGAATTGAAAATGAAGTTAACACTCGTATCTTAAGTTATAGATGATGTCTTATTTCATTAATTTGCATTCGTGTTTTAACTGCACATATTGTATCCCTTCGTAAAGACAATAAATATATTACCGCTAAAGTTCCATATAAAATATATCGTTATCATATCTAAAAAACATTAACATCTTCAAATTCCCGATAAGTACATGATTGTTCATTAACGCCTGCTGTAACCCCTGAATTAATAATGCAACCGTAAAATGTTGATATTTTGTCGCCTCATTCCCCACGCATAGTTGCTTCCCAACAGATGTATAACAATAAGTGACAAATCGATCTTATTGGGGGATAATTAGTGATCTCCGTTGCGTGTCTCGCTTGATGGATAATGTGTCGGCGATAGGATCGTTGGCTTGTTCTCTGGAAACTTAACGGAGGTGCTCGTTTCGGAACCACGTCTTGTAAATTGTCAAATTATACAAAACTCACCGGGGCGTGCCTTTGCGTGTTTATTTAATTTAAGAAATATTTTGTCTCTATTACGACCAATATGTTGAAACGGACGTGGAAAGGGATAATTTGTTTGAACATCGTGTTACCACTTTAGTTTTGACGCTTTGCGGTGTTTTGTTGCGTTTCTTAAAAGTTTGTTAGCGCTTTGTTAATGATATCGTTAAGACCTAAGGAATATACTAATTTATATATCCTTTGAGCCTAGTCAGACCCAGGAATCAATCTCTAATCTTAACGATGATCTACAACGTATCTCTATGTGGTCAAAAAGCAATGCAATCGAACTAAACGCCAATAAGTTTTATGCCATAAGTATATGTTAATTGGCATCCCTCAGCTCATAAAAAAGTTGGAAAGAGATTCTATTGTGTGTGGGCGGTGACAATATAGAAAGGGCAAAGGACGCGTATGTAAATTTGAGCACCTTAGGTTTGAAAAACAAATTCAGCTACTGTTATCGCTAAAGCTTCTTTATTCCACCATCTAAGGGTAAGACTATGCGCGCTACGGTACTCTCGTTTACTTTGCTAATAGAGTGTGTGGCCAAATGCCGAATGGAGAAAGCTTCAGAAAGCAACGCGTGCGACACTGCTGGTTCCACCACGCGCGCACGTTCCCTGCTGTTAAATGGGGTGGCTAAATATGGAGAACCGCAGGCGCCCACAGCTTCCCCCCCCCCTGTTTGGCGTCGTCGTCTCCAAAGTTCCCTACTACAGTAAATTGAAATGGATTGGCGACAGCAACAACATTTACCGCACTAGAGCATCTCTGGTTAATTATGCCTAAAAACCACACAGCATTAGTTACTCTAAATCCGGACAACCCCCCCCCCCTGTAAAACGCCCCTTCTCTAAATACTTTTAAATCAAGAAATAGGAAATTTCAGAGGGCGCTTTAGTTGCGTATACGTAAAACTATATATATATATAAAACTATATATATGTTTATATATATATATATATTTTTCGATATATATTTTGTTTTGTTCTTTTTTTAAAATGTTGTTTTTCAAATCTCCTATTTTATGTTTAAATTAATAAAACGGCGTTGTAACAATATTCGGTCAACAAAAGCTGAGTGGTGTCCCTCCACATGCATCTATTATTTTTATTTATTGTCATTAATTTTTGTGATATGTGTGTTTGTGGATTAAATGATTTGATTTGAATAAGGAGCGATATAATATTAAGTTTTGTTTGAGAATGAAACAGCTTTCATGAACAAAACACGTTAACGATACAATATATTGCGCCTAAATAGCTTAATCAAGGAAAGAAGAAAATCAAAACACTGGATTACTAGGATAAAGAAAAAATGAATAAGATCTTAGATATCATATAGAAGTAAAGTCAACAAATGCAGTATCTAGTTTTATTTGAATGGTTGAAACAATTCATGTCACATAAGGCGTAAGATTATACAAATAATAAACCTAGCAATACCAGAACAAGGCCATTTAAATGTCGATACGGAATTACGCTGAGAACAGCGCCGCGGCTTGTACATGGCGACAATTTGTCCATTGTCAATGCACAGGTTGACCTTGTTGGAGCAAACAAAAATGTACCGTTACACTTATCAAACAAATGGATTCCATTCAAAAGGCTACGAAGATTCGTTCTCATAATGTGCAATACCATATTGGTGAAACAATCAGATTTAGGTCAGATTCATGACTGCTCCGGCGAGTACTGCTGGCGAATACAATTCTCTGAACTTAGGATGTTATCGACGCCTTAGTATTGTTAACTCACATTTGTTCTTTATACCAATAAAAAGATTCACATTTTTTATTATGTGTTTTACACGACAATGTAACATTGTCTCCTACTTTCTTTACTTTTAAAGTGTGCTTAAATGTTATTTACTGCATTATTGACAAAGTATGTTATGTAAAATGAAATAAGAATCTGGATTACACCTAAGTGAACAGGGCATTGCTTGGCAAGCAAGGCAAGAAACTAGTTTCTTATGATGGAGATTTCTTCATACTTCTCATAATCTTCTCGTACACAAGCTTCTAACTACTTAAGGATATTTAAAGGCGTACGTCCCAAAAGATCTATCGCCTGTCGCCGTACATCTGCTGTTCGCACGCCCGCCTCACATTGTTATTGAGTTCAAAGTTCACTTTGTTTATTATCGGGTACTTTCTAAAGGTAACACGACGCGAGTGAAAACATCCCATTGCGCCGACGCAGACGCCGATGACACACAATTGATAATGTAAATATTGTACTTGACCTATGCTCTGATATTTTTCGGTCACGAATTCGATCGGGCTCCAGTGATGCGAATCGATTCATCCTATTTTGCATGTATGAATAAGTTGAAATGGTATTACAATAATAAGATTGACTAAATGTCGTATGACAGACGTTCGCTACTGAGTTTGTAAATGAATACTTCGTAAATTTGTATTTTTGTAAAGCCATCCAACATATTGCAATTAATGGACATCCGATAGCTTTTTCGAGATTTTCAATACTTTGAAAGCTCACTTTGAAAGGTTTTAAAGCTTACGTAAATCTCTGCACTCGTCATATACGTTGACTACAACTCGTCTCGGTTTAAAAATAATTAAAAGGTCCTTATAATAAAATTGTTAATTTCTGCTAGTGACACACATATTTATAAGAGAATACCTATTACGCCATAATTGTATTTAATTGTACATGTTTAACATTTAGACATTTTTTGATTAGCTATCAGTAAAATTATTCAGTCGGGTTGAAACAATAGATAGTGTAGGAGCGATATGCACGACAATTCACTTTCGTCACCAGTCGTGCGCCTCTCGGCCTATGCTTGCCAAAGCGCTTTATCTCAATTATGATCTACAACTATAGGGCCGATTTGTATAACAAGTTTGACTAGCGTTTAGCCTTACGCAACGGAACAATCCAATCAAATATTAATTTGTATTTTATAATAGGAGCTGATTAAAACGAGATTTGCTTTCGTGATTTTGTCGATTGATTTTTAATAATTTCGTATTTGAATATGCTTGGAAAAATGCGTTTTGACGTAATTGTTAGATTCTCAACTTGTCCTATAAAACGGTATATTAAAATAATATCTGTAGAGCTAACAAGAGAACGGGGATATAATTGTTGTTATCTCTACAGTCCAATCCCTCAAACAGGTTTATGAAATTGATGTAATTGTCGCATGATTAATTTGTAGATTCGTAGGCGTATCTAGCAATCCAAGACAAATGTTTCTCGAAACATAATCAAATCGATAATTACTCGTACAATAATTATTGGGTAGTTCAAGCTATTTTTAACCCACTTTCCGACACAACAAAGGCGCTCCACAACAAAAGAAACAATCGAAATACATCAGAAAACAATACGCTGTGAAAGCGAACAGGTTGTTTCGTTAAAAGCGAAGGGTGGATAAATAAGGGTAGCGATCAGTTTACTTGATGGCCAATAAAACCTCGGCTGACTCCGTGGAATGTGGGTAAGGCGATCCTCAATGAGTGAGGAGTGACTCGCCCGAACCACCTGACATGGACACTAGCCTTTGTTACGCTTTTAGCACGATCGACCTTTTAACTGTGGATTTATTTGTTGGAACATTCCGTTGATACTCGATACTATTCTTGCGAAATTAGAAGTTAAATTTATATCGAGAAATGTTTATCAAAATGTGTACGATTAGATTTAACTAGATTTTATTCGTTACTTGGCACTGGTTAGCATAAAACAGCTTTTTCTTCACATGTTTTATTATATTGTGCTTCTAAATTTAAAAGTTGGTAGTCTTATAATTTTTAAAACAGAACAATAATTATTATTTAAGTTAAAAGATTATTTAACTCAATACAGATATGAAAACATTAATATTGTTAACATGTTCTTGCACATGACGGCACTATATAATTTAAAAAACGAAAATAGATTGAAAAAACTTTCGACTCGGGCAGGACAGAACAACAGCACGGAACGCTGACGATGCCGGTTCAAGTCCTGCCTGAGTCGAAATTTTTTTCAATTTATTTTATATTTTTAAATTTAATAGAGATAATATGTTTGTTTCAGGTAAGGCGAAATTTTATGCTTCGTGAATATAGGTTCATTTCAATCATTCAAGGTAAGTAAAGCACTGTATATTTTTTTTATTTTACCAAGATAATTATAAAAATTAACTAAATATATGCCTAACTTTAGGAAGGGATCGTGATACGTATATTTTTTAATAAATATGTTTCTTTTCTCAAACTAATTATTACCATAGTTAAGGTTATATGTAAACATCGCTTAGATACTTCACCGAAAAATACCTCTATTTTCTGCCACGTAATTTAAACAAAATCCTTTCGTATCGTGTGTCGAAAGCTACATGAAAAGTGAATAAAGTATCAGTAGCTGTTTGAAGTGCATCCATATTACTTTAGTTTGACGCTGTGTCGTTCAATCCCCTGCTGAAACGAAGAGCTGTTTACTATTGATGTTCTAGTGCCATTCGTTTATCTCAACTCTCGGTTAGATTTAAACTAAGCGACTCGTGTTTGTCTGTATAAATTGGGGACATTTATGTAGTGTAGACGCATTCAGTTCACGATTTTTCTGTAACTACGAAACACACATAAGTAGTGAGATTACCTTAATTCTTATGGGTCCAAAAACCAATTTACCTAAATTCAACAAGTGAACTTATATATTTACTAGATTTAAGAGTTTTATATACACAACTTTTATAACTAAATGTTGCTTCTAAAGTCTAAATCAAATCAGTCAAAGTTTCTAATCTGTAAAAGGGAGAAGGGGAGAGGCGAAAGGTAGGTTTTTTTTCTGTATTGACTAACAATATGTAACTTAAAGTTCAGTTCACGATTACATAAAGTCAGATTTTTTAAGATTACATCGTAAATAACTAGTAGCATAATGTTAAGCACAAAACTCAGAGTAGCGAGGTGGTTGTAAAATTCTACTTATTCAGTTATGTTTAGTGCGTCGTCTCTACCACTCACATTTCTGGAGAGCCAAGAGCCAGCAAGACGATGAGCTACTTACGTTTTATTATTTTTCCTAAAGGTTATAAAATATAGCATGGTTTTAAATTAGCCCTTTGGTTCATGCTGTTCGCATAAAGTTCTTACTGTCTTTACGGCGCGTTATAAAATAAATCAATGCTTAGGCTTAATTTAACCCACTTACGGCAAAAATTTACATGAAAACTATTAGGGAACCACTCGGTTGATTCTGCCTTGTAAATAATATTAGGAAATGAATAGTAAAGACAAACGCAGAACTACCATCCTACATTTAAAACTGTTGTTTAGAAATAAATATTTACTAGTTCTGTCTTACAATTCATTGTGCATTGACTTTGAAAGTAAAAAAAATACAAATTCAATAATAACATGATCTTTATTTATCAGCTAAAATGCTAGTCATGCGATTAAACAGGTGTAGAATGTATAAAAAGTGACTTATTGTCATGAAATTTTTCAACCGGCATTCTATTTTTGGAGGAGCGACAATTGACGATAGAAACGGTAGCCAAATGATACGACGTAAACACAATGTTGTCACGTAGACAGTGTCCGTGCCTTTTGTTCGGCGCAATCGCCCGTCCACGAGTTGCGGTGTCACAATGATAGATGGACCCATAACTGGGTCAACATCGTCGATGCAAAGGCCGTGAGTGTCTGGCGTCTACTTAAGGGATGTGCACACCAATCTTAGATCTGTGAATGAGAGATAAT